ATCGGAGCAGCCATTGAACTGCTTGCACTGCCAAACTCTAGGATTCGAAGTGGCGTTGGGTTTTCCCCCTCATTGTGAATTTCAGCCATGGTTTTAAGAAAGGAAGCTTTAGGATTGAATTTGTAGTGAAAATTTGCAGTTTCGATTGTGAATGTGGACTGTATCGTCGGAAATCGCAGAGATTCCGTTTAGGGTTCAAGAAATCGATTTTTGCCTAATCAGTTTCGATTAAGCGATTTGAATGGGTGGGGCTCATTTTTAAATTTCATATTTTAAAAACTTTCATTAATTATGATTTTGCCCACATATGTTTGAATCTTTTTATTTTAATCCATTTTACATGTTTAATGAATCCTAACTGTGTCAAGTCAGCTTTTCTAAATTAAAAAATTAAAAAAAAAATTAAAAAGATTTTCAAGGCCATTTTGTTAAATGGAAACTTAGGATGTATGGGGAGTTAAATTTTCTCCATTTTATGTATATTCAACTCATCAAACTAAAATGATAAGTAGAAATAATTTATAATTTAACATTCTTTTGTATGATGCAGACTAGGGGTGAAAATCGAGTCGATCCGTTCACGAGCTACTCAAATTCGATTTAATGTTGGCTCGAACTCAACTCGACATTAGTCAAGTCAAGTCNTATATGAGTGACCAAGAGTAAAAATGATATAAATGATCGCTTAAGCGATCTTAGATCTGGGCAGATGATTCTGCCTCATACAAGATCTCTTAAGCGATCTGAAATTGCTTAAGCGACCAAGAGTAAAAGCGATGAATCGCTTAAGCGATACAAAAGATCTGGGCATATGTTGATTTTGCCTCGGAGGACAAGATCGCTTAAGCGACCAAGAGTAAAAACGATGAATCGCTTAAGCGATACAAAAGATCGCTTAGGCGATCTTAGATTTGGGAAGATGTTGATTCTACCTCGAACATGATCGCTTAAGCGATCCTAAATCGCTTAAGCGACAGTACGAAGCAAAGGGATGTTATTACGACTTGCATACATTTCTTCCTACCGATATATGAATTTACTGAATTCAAAAACTTAATTGCACTCTCTTTTTTCATCACAGGATAAAAATGACCCCTGATTAATCCATCTATCAATAGTTCAATACACAACTTTCTCTTATTTAATCAACAATTACTTGAAAAATTTCAGGCAACTGTTTCACCAACCAAATACAATTTCTTGTTTCCATTTTTGGCAACAGAAAAGTAAAACCTCACCACAAACACAAGATCTAACATTATCAGTTAATAATAAGCAAGTAAAAGGTTCTTCTAACCATATATTCAAGATTTAAGTGAACAAACAAAACCTACCAAATTCTTATATTACTTCCTTCAAGGAATGATTAAATTAGATCATGTCTCTTGAAAGCAAATGACTGGCCATCAAACTAACATCACATACACACAAATTCAAAACAATGATCTGAACCACATAGAAGCACTGATACAATCAGGGGTCATTTTACTCCTGCGATGAAATGGAGATGAAGCACTGATACAATCAGGGGTCATTTTACTCCTGCGATGAAATAGAGATGAAGCACTGATACAATCAGGGGTCTTCATCTCCAGGTTAATCAGAGCCGCATAGAAGTACTGATACAATAAAAAGCTTTTAATCATTCAAATTCCACCAGTGGTTTTTCATCCACAAGCAGTACACGAGAAGTACACCATCACATATCTAAATCAGTAGAGCATCAGTGACATGAAAGATGTTGACACTACAGCCATGCACCAAACAAAGGCTAAGCATAGAATTGGTATGGCGAACTAAAATACAATACAGTACTAGAACTCCCAAAACAAATACGTACACCTTCTTCGTCGGCCTCTTCCTCGCCTGAATTCTTGTCGGTCTTTTCTCCTCGCCTGAATTCTCGCCGGACTCATCCTCCTCGCCTGAATTCTCGTCGAACTCATCCTCCTCGCCTGAATTCTCGCCGGCCTCCTCCTCTTTACAACCATTTTGCGATTCTTCTCTCTGTTATTGTGCCGCTGTCGTCTCCTCTACCTGTGGACCACCTTCACTGATTGGATGATCCACCGGAGCAGCTATTGAATTGCTTGCACCGCTGAACTCTAGGATTCGAAGTGGCGTTGGGTTTTCCTCATCATTGTGAATTTCAGCCATGGTTTTAAGAAAGGAAGCTTTAGGATTGAATTTGGTATGAAAATTTGCAGTTTCGATTGTGAATGTGGACTGTATCGCCGGAAATTGCAAAGATTCCGTTTAGGGTTTAAGAAATCGATTTTTGCCTAATCAGTTTCGATTAAGCGATTTGAATGGGTGGGGCTCATTTTTAAATTTCATATTTTAAAAAACTTTCATTAATTATTTTTGCCCACATATGTTTGAATCTTTTCATTTTAACCCATTTTACATGTTTAATGAATCCTAACTGTGCCACGTCAGCTTTTCTAAATTAAAAAATAAATCAAAAAAATTAAAAAGATTTTCAAGGCCATTTTGTTAAATGGAAACTTGGGATGTCCGGGAGTTAAATTTTCTTCATTTTATGTATATTCAACTCATCAAACTAAAATGATAAGTAGAAATAATTTATAATTTAACATTCTTTTGTATGATGCAGACTAGGGGTGAAAATCGAGTCGATCCGTTCACGAGCTACTCAAATTCGATTTAATGTTGGCTCGAACTCAACTCGACATTAGTCAAGTCAAGTCAAGTTCGAGTAGTTAATCGAGTCGAGTTCGATCACAATAGAACTCGACTCAATGGTTGCATGCATTTCCAAGCTCAATGGTTAAGTTGATAGTTTTTAAAGTAATAACAGTCATAAGTAATTTAAAAGTTATAAAATTTGTAAATCCACCCTTGTTAGATGAGCTCGAAATCGAGTTTGAACTCAAGCTCGATTAAAACTCAAATAAAACTTTAAAAAACTCGATTATACGAACTTGAATTTGAACTCGGTTTCCAATTTCAAGTACAAAATTTGAGTTCGAACTTGATTTTCGATTTCAAGTATAGAATTTGAGTTCGAACTTGATTTCTTAGACTTGATCATGCTTGAACTCAAACTCAGTACTATAGTGATCGAGTCGAGTTTGATTTACCAAATATTCAACTTGACTTGACTCAATGTAACCCCTAATGCAAACTATAAACAACTCCTAGAAGAAATGAAATAGAAGATACGTGGTGTCGTGATTTACTTGATGAGTAATATATTAATAAAGACATTCCTAAATTAGTTTTATAAAGACTTTATTTAAATACAATTAGATTTATCATTTTATTTTATTCAAACATGATCCTTATAAAAACAATTTTAAACATATCTTTTAAAAATTATTTTTTACCTATACGTTTAAAAATTATTTTTTACTTATATATATATATATTTCTTTACCAGTTGTAGTTTGTTAGAATTGTTATTTAATATTATTAATTACGGACAATCACGCCAGACGAGAGACAACAGAACACCAGACGGTCCCGCGGGGACACATAATTTTTTTGAAATAAATAAAAAATAAAAAATTGGACACATAAGCAAAACCTACGTCAGCACTTGTTATCACGTGCACACCACAAACGAAAAACAATTCCTTCAAAATGCGCGCCACGTGTCGTTTCTCTAGAAGGTAGGATGTACGTGGACCAATAGTATTAACGAAACTGATCGGATCTCATCTCCCCTCTCTCGTCCACGAATTCTGATATCTACCACTTGCCTTGTTTTGATCTCCTAGCCACGTGTCGTCACTTACATGACTCTCTTTTTTACTTACCTTAAAATAATATTAAAATATTACGAAATTCATTAAAAAATTTTACAAAATTCAAGTGCTTTCTCCAGAGACCAAACTCTAGAACCTCCTCGAAGGATTTGATTTTTGTTGCTAATAGCTGCGTCGATTTACGTCACGCCTCTGTTGTCTTTGAGATCTCGATTTGATTCTTCTTCGAGAAACGCTTACTTTTGAATTTGAGGTGAGTCGTGCTTTGTTTTTTCTTACTTTGTTTTTGTAGATTCTGTTGTTGAAACTGAACTCTTTGGAGAAAGTCAAACTTGTTTTTGATAATTTTAGTAATTAGTTTTATTCTATTTTAGGGTGATTTATGTGGTGTTTGGTTGCTGAGAAAATTTTAGGAGAAATGAGAGGTAAATTGGTGTTTCAAATTGATTTTAAAATTAGATCTTTGCTTTGTTTGGTTTGTTTTGGTGTTGTGGTAGCTTGGAAAAATCTGGAATATATTAGGTTGAAATTTTTTGCAAGAGAAAAATAAAGAATCAAAACTAATGGCTTAAAATTTGGGAGTTCAGAATAATTTTTAGGTTTTGGTTTTAACGTGAATAAGTCAAGAAAGGGCTGAGAATTGGGGCTCTTCTGGTTGGTGTAAACGGTAATCCGTGAACAGCATCAATATATGTGTTTCATTTGATGTCCGACTCTTATATAGTGAATAAAGTGGTCTAGTTAGTACAAACATTGTATAGGCTGTACAGGGATTAGGACTTCAAAAAAGAAAACCTTGACCTAGTAAAAGCGTAAAGGCTTTGAGTTGAAGCTGAGGAGTAAAATTTTTGACCATCAGGAATTTGTAGAATGTTATAGAGTTGATTAAAATATGGAAACATCATAATATGTAGGAGCCACCAGAATTACAGCTTACTCTTAAGCCATTTGGGTGGACTATGAGGTGCAGAAACATTTCTTTTTGTTAATATTATGCTTTCTTTCAATAGATTGAATGAGTTTTTCTAAACTTTCTGTTTCAGTCTCTTGTGCATTAAAACTTTTATTTGGCATAACCATGAGGAAAGTTGAGCTATTTTATATTTTTGTTAAAGTGAGTCCATTTATTATCCATACATTTATTGAGCTAGATGGAGACAACATAAAATTTCATACTGAATTTTTTTTTTTCGGTTATTTGATGAATAATCATTTAATGTTAGGTCTTTTGTGACTAGAATTGGGCGCTATATTTACAATACCTGTTTACTGTTTTGGTTTCCAATTCAGAAACATAGTTGGGAGATATATTTTTGTCGCATAAACATGAAGTTGGATCAGGCAATATCATGCGTCTTTAGTGGTGGGTAAAGACCTCAGAGGGATGTCTGACTTGTGCATTTATGAGGTAGGCTTTCCTCTTGGACAACATTATATCTTTATGTGTGTACATGTGTTTAGTTTATTTCCATTTGATAGTATTGTAATATTATATTCCCATGTATCATGTTTGTGGATTGTTTTTTGTTGATGGTTTCAGGTTGAGATTCTAATTTTCTTATCAATCACTGCTATAGATAGGAAGTTCTGATCTATCTTTAGAAGAGAAATTTATAACCTCTCTGGAACATGTAAACTCATCTATAAGGTTTATAAGAGGCATTTGTATCTCAAAAAAATGCCTTTTAGTCAATAATAATAATATAAAAAAACATATTACTTTCAAAGAATTTGAATTACATATAGTATTATATTAATACTTTTGGGTTTTTCTTTGAGTACCCATCTTCTCTTTGTTTTATACGTGAAATTTTTTTTGAAGGATCTACATATGTATAGATATTTTTTATAGAAGCATTGGTTAACTCTTTTAGCCTTTTGCGATGTGTTTGATGAAGTGAACATTTTGAGTAGAGAGATAACACTGACTACAACTTCATGGACTGAAATCCTTTAGATAGCACAATTTAGTTTTTAAGTAACTGGATCAGTCTTTATAAATTAGATAAAGTACCACTGTTTGCAACAATTTTAGGGTTTAAGTCCCTTGCATTCCCTTATTTTATTTTATTTTTGAAATAAGAATTCTTTGCTTTGGCTCTGATGGTTGTGTTGTGTGATTCACTCTTTAGGTTTAAACCAATAGGTTAGAGGTTTAACACTCTTTGTGGCGACCTACTTGCATATTATGTTCTAGAACTTTTTTGATTCTGGGTTTTTTAGTTATTAACTTTTATTTTTAAAGAATGCTGCACTTTTTTGGACCTTTATATTTCACCTTGTGATACTGTTTTCCTTGTCCAAGGATACATGTTTATCATCAAATTTGGTTCCATTTCCAGTTTTTGTATAGGAAGAATGAACTCATGGAAAGAGGTGGAAGGCAGTCCTTAAAGTAAAAAGCTTTAAATTAATACACTATATAAAGCAACTCTTGCAACTATATATTCAGGTAAAAGAAAAACTATGCTAGATTTTGAACTACTGGAGCAAGAAATGCTTCATTAAATTTTATGTGATCCTTTAGATGGATTTTAACTTTACTAGACAACTTTTTCACTCTTTTGTAAGTGTCTTTTCGGTCAATGATATTGCCGTAGTTTCTTCTCACAAAAAGAAATGCTTCATTGAATATACCAACAAAGAAGAAACTTTAAGGCTTATAGCGTTCTTCTTACATGGCCTGTTAGAAAAAGGTGCAATCAACTTATGTCTATTGCCCACAAAATTTGATAATATGTGTAGAACAATCATTAATTTACTTATATTCTGATGTGGTATGTCAACTTATTTTCTTATAATTGTTATCTTGGGTGGCTTTGTATTGTGTCCTCTATTTAGTTGGATTTAATAAGTTTTTAACCTGTCGTGAACTGTTATTGACTCCTGTAAACACACAGATATGCAAATGTTTCATGCCACCCTATGCAAAATTTGATGTCTTTTTAATGGTTGTTGTTAGAGGATACTGTTTTAATTGTTTGATTGTGCTTCCAATTAGATATGAATCACTGTTTGCGTGAGGTGGGGATGGTAGCTTTGGTTTGTAGGGTTTGAAATAGTTAAACAGGTGGGATGTACATCCAAGAACAGTGATAATATTGCTTTCTGAAGTTTTAGGGTGGAAGTTGTGTAGTTTGTACTGGTAGGTTGGTCTTATAGGACTACTATTTAAGGAATTTCAAATCAGGGATTGCAGGAAGTTAGAGAAAGTGGTAGAGAGAATTGAAGTGAAATAGTATAAGGAAAAGGATAGAACAAGGGTGTTATCATTTTGCAAAATTTATAAAGGCCACATTTTTTTTACCTTACTGTACCCTTTCATGACTTTTGGCAGATTTAAATTCATTTTTTACTGTATAGGTCTAAAGTTGCTGGGTTAAATTCATTTTATGAAATCAAGTAAGTTACAACTTCAGTTGGTGTTGCCATGTTGGACATGGGCGCTATTTTCTTACTTTGGCACCAAGTTTTCATGGTCTTAATAAAGGGTTAAGAGATAAATAATATACTTGTGCTATTGTTGCTTACTTCAATACCAAGCTTTTTTAGGTCAAATATGAGGGAGTGAGAGATAAATAATACCTTTATAACTGAATTCATTATTATTATATTTCTTTTCCATGCTTCATGGGTTATCTTTTATGTAGAGTCAATACAAATACCAAATATCTCTTGTAGAAGAAAGAGTAGCAGCTATAATCTTGACTCGTAAATCCTTATTCTAATTTTCTGTTCACTAAATTTGTACTCCATTATTTGTGAGAAGACTTTCTAGGTTATTAATTATGCAAACATTAATGCTGTGCTTAGTAGCATTGAATTAAAGACTTGGAACTAGAAATCGCTGGCTTTTAATGATTCATGAGAAGGATTGTCTTCAATTGCAATTCTATGCTCAATTTTGTGCTTCCAATATAACCTGATTTTACTTCCTTGGTTTTATGCCTTCTCTATAGTTTATGATCCAAGTGAATTTAAAAATGAACATTATATTCTTGAATTCATTTTGTAGGATGTTCATTCTATATAGACTCACTAAGATTCAATTATATTTGATTATCATTATGAGTTATAGGCATGCCATGTTGCCTTCTTAATGGCAAGTTTCCTGTCCAACACAACCCTTTTTATACCTCAAACAAGTTAACTTCTAGTTTTTTGTCATTCTAGCAAATTTTATCACTCAATTGTTATTAAGTTAACTACAGTTAACAAACGTCTTTTCTCTCCTTAGTTTTGGTTCTTTTTCTTTTCCACGAAATCATTAAATACTAAAGAATTCAGTGACTGGTGGAGGGCATATTGTGGATGGCCTCTACAATCTTGGTTGTGGATAACAAGTTTGTGTTGCTACTCGTTGTTGTAAAGTTAAAAAAGAAAAAAAGTTATTTATAAATTCTCATCTCTATTTACAGTTTGTGAACTATTAAACTATTTCCATCGGTTAGATCTTCCTTTTTTTTTTTTTAAAAAAAAAAAAGCCTTTTACTATAAATATGGTGCTTGTTATCATGCAAGTATCATGGAGTCTTCTTTTTTCATGGTTCACTATAAATATGGTGCTTGTTATCATGCAATTAGCATGGAGTCTTCTTCTTTCATGGTTCACCTCTGCTGGTCACCCTACTCTAGTTATTCATCCAAATATAGGAAACTTATTTTATTTACAAGTTGATTGAATTCTTAAATGTTATCACTTAAGTGAGTATTGTGTTATAAGCTCATCTTCTGAAATTCTTGTTACAATTTCATGCCTCCAGTTTGGTCCTTTCTAGGTGTTGAATGTAGGCATCTGTTTGCATATGCTCTTTATTTGTTATGAATGATCCTGCTCAGTCTGCATGCCATATTATATGCCATCTAGCATTTAAGCTCATATACCAAAGCAAAATGATGTGGTTAAGCATACAGTATGATTCATCTGAAGTTTGAAAATAAGAATTTATGTGGAACATTATTGGATATGCATCTGATATTATAAACTTTGTGTGACAATTAGATTAGGCTTTTGCCTTGAATTGTTTCTATTCATGTGCTAGTTTGTTTTCGCTTTACCTTTTACAGCCTATATTGAATGTTATTGTGAGGAATTTTCCATTACTTATTGGCAGGAGGCTCTAACAAAGAAATTACTGCCATTTAGCTAATTTGAAATTGGCATATGTTCCTATTTCAGCTGGATATATTTTATGAAGTTACAAGTGGGTTCATATAACGGTGTTGAGCCCGTTGCGTTGCTTTTCTTGATTAACAGAGGTTGCTTTATGTAGCCACTCTTGATTTTTTTTATCGACTGTCTTGTGAATCCATTGGCCTGGCTATGATATTAGTTGTTTTCTGTTTAATCACTTTTCTTAACTGTTTTTTGTATTGTGAGGAATTTTTTCTTACCATCAAAATTTTTGTTTCTTACTCCATGCTGAATAATTCCTTTAACTCCATGCTTAACTTGCTGCTCATTAGCCTTGACGGCTGCTGACTATTCCGTCGAATAAACTTTGGCAACGAAAATGAGCATTTTGAAATTAAAAAAATAATTCTTTCTACCCTGAAATATTTATAACATCTAATGTTTCTATTGTATTCACCCTGAATGTTGCAGCAAGCATATCGATGAGTATCTTGTACAAATAGAGTACTACTCTATTGTGGTTCTTTGGTTTGATATATTCTCTTTGATTTTTTTGTTACGATGTGCTATTAAGGTTCAAAGGCTTTTCTTCATTTCCTTTGATGATTAGTTTTTTCTTTGGCTGCAGTTATTGTGATTGATCTCAATGAAACTGGGATTGATTGCGACTGTATTAATCTGTTTTCGTGCATTAAGTGCCTTTTTTTTTTTAATCATGCCTTGTAAATTTCAGCTTCTTATGCTTACTTGGAAGCATTATACTTTCAGACTTAAAAAACTGTCCATTTATGGTTCAATGTTAGTTTGCAGGGATGCTATCTATTAAGGGGCTGGTTTACCTCTTCAATTACTTTGTCAAGTTGATTTTGATAATAAAGACATTTTCTGAATTTTAATGTTAGTGAAAGAATATCTATTTTTCTGCATGTATGCTTTTATGTAGTTCATGTGTATATGAAGGTTATGAGCATTTGGTTCTGCGTTTGATTTTATTGTAATTCCTAGCAAGTATTTTCTATTATGATTTGGGAGAATAAGACTATATACATTGTATCATTCATTTACCTCTGATGTTTTTACATTTAAATATATTAATTTACTATGTTTACAATTTATTGTTGTTAGTGCTTTATCACCATTTGTGAAATGTTTATCTGTTAAGCAGACAGAATTTTTACACTGAAATGTAAAGATGCATCAATAATATGATCACTGTATGCTTGTTGTTTTTAGGACAAAATTATAACTTCTTACACATTTGCTAGGCATTTTTTTGTTTAATTCTTATCATACGGGCTTGCAGTGAATATTATGTGGCTTCTAGACTAATGGATGTATACTTACTGTCTTCCTTCCCACTACTTTTTTCTCTAGGTTATATTTCTATCTACAACGAAGAGTTCACTGACAATTTCTTGATTATGACTACATGTGTGTTAATGATCCAGATTGAAGATAATCTGTGGGATGAATTTGGTGCAAGTGATGATCATATAGTGCCTCATCCCAGTAACGAATATCTGGACCAGTATGCAACTCAGGGTGATGGCCGAAAGAAATCACGATATGAAGTGACTGGTTTTACAAGCATTGCTGATAACTTAACTATATACGGTATTCAGGGAAAGGAGGAAAACGACTTACTGTTTATGTCCAAGAAGGATAAGATGTTGGAAAAGGGTTCATGGTCTGACACACAGGATGGTGTATTTCCTGCTTCGCGTGATAGTGACACAGCCAAAGAAGTGACAAGTGAAGCATCTGATGGTGCTAGGATGTCAAGTCAAGGATCAAAAAGTGGCACTGTATCTAAGCTGGGTGAGTTCAGTGAAGAGAATCATATCTTGGGTGACAGATGTGTATCAGAGGATGATAATGTATACTGTTATCCACTCAATCACATTTCCCAAGCGGATAATGATCTCAGCTTTCTTGATAGTGATCGTGAAGACAAAGAAAGCAGTGATCTCTTGTATTATGGCTGGTCTGATATAGGAAATTTTGAAGACGTGGACAGGATGTTTAGGTAGTCTACAAATGTCTCTTTCTTTTTCTGAAAATTTTCTAAACCCTTTTTTTTTCTTTTATGAAGTTTTATCACAACTAAATCTCTACTGTTTTGTGTATGTTGTAGGGTACTCTAATTTTGTTAATGAACACATTTGTTTTGTTCATGCAGAAGTTGTGATGCAACGTTTGGGTTGGGCAGTCTTAGTAATGAAGACGATTTGTGTTGGTTTTCACCTACAAATGCTGCTGAAGGATCTGAAGATATATTGAAGTCGGGCTCAGAATTCAATGGCTTTCCAGAACATCAAGAAGCTTCAGGGGAAAATGGTGCAGGTGCTTCAACTGATGATTCCAACAAGAAAATTTTGGGTGCTGGAGAAAAAATAAATTTCAAATCTCTGGATACTGATGATTCTGGTCTTAATCACTTGTCATCCGTGAATGGATTAGATACACAATCAGAAAGTGCAGATGACTTGATGGTTAATGAGAAGGTCAGTGGACTATATGTGCTTGTAAATGACTGCTAGGCTATTTCAAACTTTACTGTATTCTTATCACTGTTAGGGTATAAATATCCACATTTTTTTCTGTGATAGAAAACTTTGAGGCTCTTTTACTACTTTTTCCACCATGATGAGGTCAATGGTGACAGTTTCATGAAAGATAAAATCCATTTTAACATTCTAGTGAAATCCCTGTTATTCCCTAGTTATTCTGAAGTGATTAATGGATTATACTCCTTAAATATTTTGACTGCATTCATGTTGTTCTAGTTGGCAGCTACTTACAGTGTCAGGACCAGCTTCCCTATTAGTTCTTAAGATTATTGGCTGGTTGTGTCCGATTCCTTTACAGAATTATAATCTGATCAACTTTTGAAGATAAATTTGCATTCGATTTGTATTATTTATTTATTTTTCTAAGAGGTGGTTTGCAAGTTGTCGTTCATCCATGTGAACCTTGGTAGCAGTATTCTATACTGGAGCTTTATTACATAATGTGATTCTGCTATTGTATGACAGGTCAATGTACAAAAAAGGCAGCTGAAGCAGCAGAACAAATCAGATGGAAAACGAAAAGATCGACATGTGGAAAATGGCTCATTTCAGCATTATGATGAACTAAAGCAATTTACTGACCTGAAGCATCTATTTGGAGATTCATCCCCTCAAGTCTTCTCTCCATCTGGTCTTCAGCCACATAAACAAAACACAAAACAAAATTCGTTGAATTATATGGAGACACACATTCCTTACATGTGCATAGACTACAGTCATCCTTCTGATCAAATTTCTGTCTGTCCAACTCCATCCGGTACCAAATTTGAAAACAATACTCACATTTCTCCTTCTCAGAAGGAGTCTTCATATGCATCAAATCAGGTGCAGTCCATGGAGAGCTCTCATGGCCTTCCATTTGAGGCTCCTTCTGTGACAACAAATGAGAAGAGAGAAAAGCTGTTTCACTGCCAGGATTTACAAGCGCCATTCAGTGGGAATTTCAAACATGCAAATGTTGCTGGTCCAGTGGAATTTTGTAGTTCTCTCTCAGTTCAGAAGCAAGTCCATCAGTCAGAACTTGGGATGGAAGGTAATAGTGAAGTTGACGGAGTTAGCATTAAAGTTCCTGCAGAATTTGACTCTTCAAATGGACAAGAGAGCTCTTGCATGAGCTCCGTGCTGGATGAAATCTCTTTGGAAGCAACCAGTTTTCGTCAGCTTCAGCAAGTTATGGAAAAGGTATATCAGTTTGAAAAACTTTAACCATATATCTCAATTCTTGGGATATCTGCCTTTGAATCTGGATTGGCATCAGTAGGTTTCTTAATTATGATATTATGGTGCATGTGAGGTTTGGATGAGGTAAATGTGTGTGCATTGTGTCTTGTTCATGAAACCTGATGTGTCTTTATGTATGTCTCTGTCTGTGCATGTATTGTGTTACAACTCTGCTTGATTTCACAAATTCTGCTTAGAAATATCAAATGGCATAAAACAAGATTTAGGATATGTAAAAGAAAAACCTTTCTCAACCCTATTGTTGGCATTGCTTAATTCCATTATTAGCAAAGCTGAAAATTATTAACTTTTGCATTTGATGTTTAGCCTTGTTATAGATACAATAATGCCAGTCAATGAGAAGTTATAAGCAATAGAATAAACTTTTATAAAGCTTTAAACCAATAAAAGGTAGCACATTAGCAAAGTGCATTAACTTTAAGCTCAAAGTTTCTTCAATGAAATTTTAAATGATAAAAGGGTTGAAAATTATAAGCTAGTGTATTATCTATGGTATATTGGGAATAGAATGTAAGGCTTTGGGTAATACACTGAGAGATTTGGAAGTGGGTTTTAGAGGGAACAAAAGCCAGAGCAATAAAGGTAAAAACCATCTTGGCAATAGTGATTTAGTGGGACTTGTTTTCTCTTATCTCATTTTGGAGTAGTCAAAGATGGGGTTGTAAGAGTGATTAAATTGTTTATGCTGATTTGTTTTTGACCTTTGAGGCTACAACTTTAGGGAATTATAGGCTGGAAAACATTATTTATTCTATTTTTTATTTTTTAAGATAAGAAGAAAGCTTGAAACCGAACTCTCTTTCACTATCAAGGTGGTCACAGCATTTATTCTTTAGAAGTTGCTGATGCACTAATTGACACACCAATTATTGTAGTTGTGGGAATTAATAAAAATGGTTTGTAGTCCCAAGATTGTAATTTTATAAGTTTCTACTAAGTTCATCGTGAGAACATAGAAAACAAGGCTTGCTAATTAGTTTAGGAAAATTTATGGCTGTTTTATCTCTTAAAGGTTTAATCATTTGGAAGACTTTTATGTGTAATTAAGATGTGTCCTCAACCTAATGGAGCCAAGATTTCTTAAGGAGAAATCAAGATTTCATTAGCCAAGGGACTGAAATTACTCTAAGCACTAATGGAGCCAAGATTTCTCAAGGAGAAATCAAGGCCAATATTTTAGGAGGAGAAATCAAGGAAAAACAAAACTAGTTGAATATTATGAACTCTAATGAAAAATCTGAATTTTGTTATTTTCTGGCAATCTGATTTCTTGAGTGAACACTACCCTCCTTTTATAGCCCTAGCCTACTACAATATTCTGGGTAAATTTTAAGCTTCCTAGATTAATCACTGTATGCTTGTTGTTTTTAGGACAAAATTATAACTTCTTACACATTTGCTAGGCATTTGTTTGTTTAATTCTTATCATACGGGCTTGCAGTGAATATTATGTGGCTTCTAGACTAATGGATGTATACTTACTGTCTTCCTTCCCACTACTTTTTTCTCTAGGTTATATTTCTATCTGCAACGAAGAGTTCACTGACAATTTCTTGATTATGACTACATGTGTGTTAATGATCCAGATTGAAGATAATCTGTGGGATGAGTTTGGTGCAAGTGATGATCATATAGTGCCTCATCCCAGTAATGAATATGTGGACCAGTATGCAACTCAGGGTGATGGCCGAAAGAAATCACGATATGAAGTGACTGGTTTTACAAGCATTGCTGATAACTCAACTATATACGGTATTCAGGGAAAGGAGGAAAACGACTTACTGTTTATGTCCAAGAAGGATAAGATGTTGGAAAAGGGTTCATGGTCTGACACACAGGATGGTGTATTTCCTGCTTCGCGTGATAGTGACACAGCCAAAGAAGTGACAAGTGAAGCATCTGATGGTGCTAGGATGTCAAGTCAAGGATCAAAAAGTGGCACTGTAGCTAAGCTGGGTGAGTTCAGTGAAGAGAATCATATCTTGGGTGACAGATGTGTATCAGAGGATGATAATGTATACTGTTATCCACTCAATCACATTTCCCAAGCGGATAATGATCTCAGCTTTCTTGATAGTGATCGTCAAGACAAAGAAAGCAGTGATCTCTTGTATTATGGCTGGGCTGATATAGGAAATTTTGAAGACGTGGACAGGATGTTTAGGTAGTCTACAAATGTCTCTTTCTTTTTCTGAAAATTTTCTAAACCCTTTTTTTTTCTTTTATGAAGTTTTATCACAACTAAATCTCTACTGTTTTGTGTATGTTGTAGGGTACTCTAATTTTGTTAATGAACACATTTGTTTTGTTCATGCAGAAGTTGTGATTCAACGTTTGGGTTGGGCAGTCTTAGTAATGAACAGGATTTGTGTTGGTTTTCACCTACAAATGCTGCTGAAGGATCTGAAGATATATTGAAGTCGGGCTCAGAATTCAATGGCTTTCCAGAACATCAAGAAGCTTCAGGGGAAAATGGTGCAGGTGCTTCAACTGATGATTCCAACAAGAAAATTTTGGGTGCTGGAGAAAAAATAAATTTCAAATCTCTGGATACTGATGATTCTGGTCTTAATCACTTGTCATTCGTGAATGGATTAGATACACAATCAGAAAGTGCAGATGACTTGATGGTTAATGAGAAGGTCAGTGGACTATATGTGCTTGTAAATGACTGCTAGGCTATTTCAAACTTTACTGTATTCTTATCACTGTTAGGGTATAAATATCCACATTTTTTTCTGTGATAGAAAACTTTGAGGCTCTTTTACTACTTTTTCCACCATGATGAGGTCAATGGTGACAGTTTCATGAAAGATAAAATCCATTTTAACATTCTAGTGAAATCCCTGTTATTCCCTAGTTATTCTGAAGTGATTAATGGATTATACTCCTTAAATATTTTGACTGCATTCATGTTGTTCTAGTTGGCAGCTACTTACAGTGTCAGGACCAGCTTCCCTATTAGTTCTTAAGATTATTGGCTGGTTGTGTCCGATTCCTTTACAGAATTATAATCTGATCAACTTTTGAAGATAAATTTGCATTCGATTTGTATTATTTATTTATTTTTCTAAGAGGTGGTTTGCAAGTTGTCGTTCATCCATGTGAACCTTGGTAGCAGTATTCTATACTGGAGCTTTATTACATAATGTGATTCTGCTATTGTATGACAGGTCAATTTGCAAAAAAGGCAGCTGAAGCAGCAGAACAAATCAGATGGAAAACGAAAAGATCGACATGTGGAAAATGGCTCATTTCAGCATTATGATGAACTAAAGCAATTTACTGACCTGAAGCATCTATTTGGAGATTCTTCCCTTCAAGTCTTCTCTCCATCTGGTCTTCAGCCACATAAACAAAACACAAAACAAAATTCGTTGAATTATATGGAGACACACATTCCTTACATGCGCATAGACTACAGTCATCCTTCTGATCAAATTTCTGTCTGTCCAACTCCATCCGGTACCAAATTTGAAAACAATACTCACATTTCTCCTTCTCAGAAGGAGTCTTCATATGCATCAAATCAGGTGCAGTCCATGGAGAGCTCTCATGGCCTTCCATTTGAGGCTCCTTCTGTGACAACAAATGAGAAGAGAGAAAAGCTGTTTCACTGCCAGGATTTACAAGCGCCATTCAGTGGGAATTTCAAACATGCAAATGTTGCTGGTCCAGTGGAATTTTGTAGTTCTCTCTCAGTTCAGAAGCAAGTCCATCAGTCAGAACTTGGGATGGAAGGTAATAGTGAAGTTGACGGAGTTAGCATTAAAGTTCCTGCAGAATTTGACTCTTCAAATGGACAAGAGAGCTCTTGCATGAGCTCCGTGCTGGATGAAATCTCTTTGGAAGCAACCAGTTTTCGTCAGCTTCAGCAAGTTATGGAAAAGGTATATCAGTTTGAAAAACTTTAACCATATATCTCAATTCTTGGGATATCTGCCGTTGAATCTGGATTGGCATCAGTAGGTTTCTTAATTACGATATTACGGTGCATGTGAGGTTTGGATGAGGTAAATGTGTGTGCATTGTGTCTTGTTCATGAAACCTGATGTGTCTTTATGTATGTCTCTGTCTGTGCATGTATTGTGTTACAACTCTGCTTGATTTCACAAATTCTGCTTAGAAATATCAAATGGCATAAAACAAGATTTAGGATATGTAAAAGAAAAACCTTTCTCAACCCTATTGTTGGCATTGCTTAATTCCATTATTAGCAAAGCTGAAAATTATTAACTTTTGCATTTGATGTTTAGCCTTGTTATAGATACAATAATGCCAGTCAATGAGAAGTTATAAGCAATAGAATAAACTTTTATAAAGCTTTAAACCAATAAAAGGTAGCACATTAGCAAAGTGCATTAACTTTAAGCTCAAAGTTTCTTCAATGAAATTTTAAATGATAAAAGGGTTGAAAATTATAAGCTAGTGTATTATCTATGGTATATTGGGAATAGAATGTAAGGCTTTGGGTAATACACTGAGAGATTTGGAAGTGGGTTTTAGAGGGAACAAAAGCCAGAGCAATAAAGGTAAAAACCATCTTGGCAATAGTGATTTAGTGGGACTTGTTTTCTCTTATCTCATTTTGGAGTAGTCAAAGATGGGGTTGTAAGAGTGATTAAATTGTTTATGCTGATTTGTTTTTGACCTTTGAGGCTACAACTTTAGGGAATTATAGGCTGGAAAACATTATTTATTCTATTTTTTATTTTTTAAGATAAGAAGAAAGCTTGAAACCGAACTCTCTTTCACTATCAAGGTGGTCACAGCATTTATTCTTTAGAAGTTGCTGATGCACTAATTGACACACCAATTATTGTAGTTGTGGGAATTAATAAAAATGGTTTGTAGTCCCAAGATTGTAATTTTATAAGTTTCTACTAAGTTCATCGTGAGAACATAGAAAACAAGGCTTGCTAATTAGTTTAGGAAAATTTATGGCTGTTTTATCTCTTAAAGGTTTAATCATTTGGAAGACTTTTATGTGTAATTAAGATGTGTCCTCAACCTAATGGAGCCAAGATTTCTTAAGGAGAAATCAAGATTTCATTAGCCAAGGGACTGAAATTACTCTAAGCACTAATGGAGCCAAGATTTCTTAAGGAGAAATCAAGGCCTATATTTTAGGAGGAGAAATCAAGGAAAAACAAAACTAGTTGAATATTATGAACTCTAATGAAAAATCTGAATTTTGTTACTTTCTGGCAATCTGATTTCTTGAGTGAACACTATCCTCCTTTTATAGCCCTAGCCTACTACAATATTCTGGGTAAATTTTAAGCTTCCTAGATTAAAAACCCTTCTACAATATTTTTGGTAATTATAAAGCTTGTTAGGATACATTTAAAACTCTACTTTTTCTATACTTCATTTACTATCTTGGTAATTATAAAGCTTGTTAGGATACATTTAAAACTCTACTTTTTCTATACTTCATTTACTATCTTTTTGCAAAAACAAGGTTGAATTTTGCCTCAAAACTATCTTTCGTGCATTTTGACTTATCTATTTATTAATTAAAAATCATTTCCTATATTCTTTTAATGTCTGCATCAAGAACATGCTTCAAATATTAAAGATACTAAGATGTAACTCAAATCTTTTAATTGTATCATTAGTCATGAAAATTATTTTCAGTTGACAAACCAAACAAGCCAAAAAGATGAAATATTCAATAAAGTATGAGATATATATATCCGTTTTAGAAAAAAAAAAAATATCATCTGTTATCTATGTGGGGCATTTAGACAGTTAGTGTATGTTTGGTCCGCAACATTGTATAGTACAAAAAGCATTTTATTGTACTTGATAATACTATACAATGTTTGGTGGAAATTTTGCACTTGTATCAGCTAATGCAATGTACAAGGCCTAATGCATCAAAATGAATATTGCATGCGTAATGAACTCCTTGGATATCATTTATGTTAAAACTGAGAGAATGAGGGATATGACGAACTATTTCAGATTCCATGTAGGTTAATCTCTGCCTATATATGATAAATGGGATACAATCGATAAAGAAAAATAATTTGTTATTTATGAGGGCATTATCAGTGCACGAAGTTTTATATTCGTGGACAGTGGACTTGCTTGTAGGCTGTCTGTGTAACGCACAATCAACAGTGATCAACATGCAAAACAAACACTAATGTTGTGCATATTATATGGCATACCATTTTTAGATGGGTATAGCGTAATTTGAAAAAGTTCTCATGAATGTGTTGTGAAATTCAACACATAGTCTCTTATTCTCATTTTTCTAAAGAGTGTCAACAATTTATGCAAGCATCTATGCTGTTCATACTCATTAATGTGTTGTGAATACTTTCATAATTTCAAATTGAGTTGCAGATTTTGATATTTGAAACTATATGGCATAGTCTCTTATTCTCATTTTTCTAAAGATTGTTAACAAATTATGCAAGCATCTGTGCTGTTGATACTCATTAAATGTTGTCAATACTTTCATAATTTCAAATTGAATTGCATATTTTGATATTTGATATGGTAAAATATTCTATCTGTCAACTTTCATTTTAGGGGGTGTTTGGTTGGGAGTATTGAAGATTGCTGGGGTTAAGTCATCTTATATTATTTGATTACCATGTTTGGTTGTCAAGTGATATAAGATACCGGTAATCTTCAAATACCAATAGTGATTACTATTGGTAATATAGATTACCTCTATTTTCTTAGGTATTCTAAGATTACCAAGGTTATCTTTTTTTGTTACAATTCTATTCTTTATTAATAAAATTTTAGGACAATAATGCCCTTATTTTTTAATTTATTTACATGAATATGACTTTTACTAATTTTAACCCCAATTAATTAACTTTTTGGACAAAATTACCCTTGAATTCAAAAGAAATTACAGCCCACCCAAGCCACCACCCCTAGCCACTTGCCGTCGCCATCGGAATGGCGCACAGAAGGTAGAAAATGGCCGTCATGCGCCGATATGGACAGATTTGGTCGTTGACTGCCAGATCTGTCAAGTCTGGCTGGAAATGGCCATGCGGCGCACGGAGGCCATTTCCTGCCTTCCGTGCACTGTTAGGTTGCCGGAGGTCTGCGGTGGTTGCTGGCGGTCAACGGTGGTTGGGTTGTTAGGGGTGTTTTGTTGATTTTTCAAACTTTTATTATGGGGTTGTTTTTGCTAAGTTTTCAAATGCAGGGGGGGTTATATAATCCAAATAATAATCAATATTAAAAAATAATATAATAATAATAATAATATTTAATTAGGGGACAATTCAGTAATTTAAATAACATACTCACCAATTTATTCCTTCCAACCAAACATATTAATATAATATACCAACCAATTAACGAAACAGATTTTCTTAAAGATTCCCAGTTATCTTCAAGGTAATATAACCTTCCAGTAATCTAACATTCCTTGAACCAAACGCCCCCTTATAGTATTCTGCATCTATGCTAGTTGTACATTCTCTGTGTTTGTTTTGGTTCTGATTTACTAAGCTGAAGTTGTCATATTTCAGTTGGATATTAGAACAAAACTTTGCATAAGGGACAGTCTATATCGCTTGGCTAGGAGTGCAGAGCAAAGGCATAACTGTGCTAATTCGAGTGCTGGCATCATAGTTGACAGAGATGCAACTGGAGCACTGATGGCTGAAGAAACAAATAAGTATGTTATTTCACTTTTTTCTTGGTCCTTATTGTTATTTCTTATTAAGCTGCACATTCTTCTTGACTGTTTCATGCTTTTCTCAAGTTTTGCATGTGAAGAATGTTCATACAGTCTCATATATGTTGTGATATATAATGAAGCCAACACTCTGGGTTTTGGATAATTTTGTAGTTGTTGACAGGCTACTCAACATTTAATGGCTGGCTGCTTGATATACCTATAATTGGGTATATTTGGGCTCCGTTTGGTTCACTATTCTAATGGTTTTTAAAATAGTATTTTGGAAAAAGTAAAATTGAGTTGGGTTATCTTTACGAGAAAGGTAATTGTTAATGTTTTGAGTTAAATAAGGTAGAATTGAATTTTGAGAATATTGAAATAAATACATTTTTGGGCTTTTAGGATAGGATAGTGGAAAAATAGTGAAACAAATGCAGCCTTGAGTATTTGAAGTAAAACTAATGCATGAATTTTTATGTTTTTGTAGTTCCTTGCAATTTATCTGCCTTTGCTTGTTTACATGGGAAGAGAATAAGTTGCCTGGTTATCAGTATGCAATTAACCCATATGAGTATTTGTAAATTATTTTTATACTTTGATGTGACATACTTAATTCCACAATTTGTAGGATTTGGTATTCAAATCATTTTCCTTCTTTTTGTCCTATTACCAAAATCTTACCTTCAGTGAGTTCCTTATGAAGATTCTTTATTAACTTTTTTCCCTCTCTGTATCTACTCCTCCATAGTGGTTCTATAATATTTGTCTTTTAATTTCATGAATATTATACGTATTTTAGTTGTAAGTTATTTAATCCTTTTTTTTTTCCCGTGTACTCACCTCCCAAATTATTTTCTGTATAGAAAATTGGTTCAGTGTACCTAAAATATTACTGTCGAATGCTTTTCTTACCAAATCTTTCTTTTCAATCCTAGTAACAGAAGAGTAGGAATGATACTTTCTTGATTGATTTCATTTAGAGGAAAATTCTGAGTAAATAAATACACTCAAATTACTTTTATTTTTGTCTATCAATTTACCAAATATATTCAATATTATACTTTAGGATTTCTTAGGATAAGAAGTTTAGGGTCCGTTTGGTTCACTATTTACAATAGCATTTTTAGAAAATAGGATAGGATTCTGAGAAGTTTTTGGTACATTTTTTAATAGTATTTTCTGAAAATGTTTAGATTATATTTTAACCTCTTAGGTTTGTTAATTTAACTGAACACTCTTTACGGTGGATCTGGTCGGAGAAGGTCAGATCGGTGCATGACTGGCTAGATCTAATCGGTCGTGCACCATTCTAGTAGATTTTGGCCATCTTGTGACGGTGGTGGCCGATTGCTAGCAATATGTGGGCGGGTGGAGGTGTTTTTGTCAATTTTTAAACTTTTATTGTGGGATTGTTTAGTTAAATTAACAAACAAAGGGGGTTAAAAATAATTTAAATATTTTGAGTTAAATAAGATAGGATTGGATTTTGAGAATATTAAAATAAATGCATTTTTAAGATTTTAGGATAGGATAGTGGAATAGGATAGGATAGAATAAGTGTGCCAAACGGAGCCTTAAATTTTTAAAACCAGTTGTTATCTAGTTATCAAGACTTAGCTGTTATCTAGCTATTATCTAGTCTAGAGTAGAGATAATCCTTGCTGTTTTTATGTTGAATATCAGGGATTAATCTATATAAGTTCAATGTTGTATCATGCATAAGAATCATGCATAAGAATAAGAAATAAGAAAATAAATGAGTATTATTACTAGTTTCATGGTATCAGAGCAAGGTTTCTCTTGTTATTAGAATTAATGGTTAAAACGGTCATGTCCGGTGTTTGGAACTGGAGTCTGTCTTCCTCGGAGCAGTCATCTGAACAGATAGACATACAATCCTTATCATTTACTCGAGGCTGCAGTGATCAACATTCCCTTCAGATAACTGTTCATAAGCGGAATGGGAAAAATTACCTTCCATGGTCTCAAGCTATGAAGTTAGTAGTTCGTGGAAGAGGGAAATTGGGTTATCTGACTGGTACAGTCAAAGCCCCAAAGGAAGATGACCCAACTATAAAAAATGGGATGCCGAGAATAGCACAGTGATGGCATGGTTAATAAATTCAATGGAGGAGGACATCGGTCAACTCTTTTTATCCCTTCCCACTATGAAAGATATTTGGGAGACTACTAGAGATACATATTCGGATTTAGGAAATTCGGCAAAGGTATTTGAAATTAGATTAAAATTGAGAGAAATCAAACAAGGTAGTTTGACGGTAACTCAATATTTTGGCATTTTAACTATATTGTGGCAAGAACTTGATTTGTTACTTGATTTAGATTGGAATTGTTCTCAGGATAGTGTGAAGTATACAATGATGTTGGAAAAAGAAAGGGTGTTTTGAGTTTCTTTCTGGACTGAATAAGGAGCTGGATGAAGTGAGAGGGAGGGTTTTATGAAAAGAAACTGTACCTCCTATACATGAGGTGTTTTATGAAGTTGGAAGAGAGGAAAGTAGAAGGAACGTAATGATGGGAGATCCAAATCCAAGAAAACATGTAGAGTTAAAATCTTCAGCCCTTGTCTCTAAGGAACAGGGAAATCAGCCCAATCGTAATGGAGATCAGAGGATGAAAAAAAGGGGAGAAAAGGTTTGGTGTGAGTTTTTTCATCATCCAAGACACACCAAAGCAACCTGTTGGAAACTACATGGAATGCCCTCTGCCTCGAATTGGAAGTCTTATAGACCTGTAAATACAAGAGGATATCACGCTGGAGTGGAAGAAGGCACAACATCTGGAAATCATCCAAGGCCTGTACCATTCAGTAAAGAACAACTGAAACATTTGTATGAGCTATTTAATCAGTTCAATTCTAGCTGGTTTCATATACTAAGTATTGACTCCAGAATATTCTATGGATCTGGACATAATCACTAATAAGAAACAATCAGATTCTGAAGTGTCTGCTCAGATTTTAAGAAATTCTATTATTGAAGACTTGTACTCTAGCTTTACCCCACTTACCTGAGAACTTTGGACCTAAATTTATAGCTCCATATCTCCAATTTTTGTTAGTTATTTTTTCAATTTTTTCGTTAACCCTTCTTTGTTCCATTCATCCTGTACTCTGTTTAGAGTGATGGGCAATATTTTAATGCTTTTTTCAAATAAGACAAATATTAATATTAATCATTTTCCACCGCTGTTACACCCAAATAATTGTCTGCTTATCCTCTTTCTCTTCCTCTGCAACAAACAATTATGTTGGTTTATTAACATGATCAAGCACTACTTGAAATTTTCCATGGTTGCCAGCCCAAATGTTCCAAAGTTTTTGTATATATAGAAATCTTTAGCTTCTGAGAAGATAGGCGTGGAAGCTACAATTTGGGGTTTGACTCTCAAGGGAACTGAAACCTCAAACTGAAATTTTTCACTTTTTGTGATATCCAAAAGAAATAGCAGTTGGGAAAACTTGGAAAAAGATAATGCGGGAATTATTTTAGATTTTTTTTTTTTTTTTTTTTTTCATTACTAACCAAGTAGATCATGCTGTATCAGGAGTGAGCTCAGTGGATTGATGCCTTACTATTCTCCCAATCATTCAGAAAGTTGGGTATTAAAACTCAGTTCAGAATATATGTCAAAACAATTCAAGGACAAATGAATGAGTGAATATTAACTTCCATCATCAAGTACTGATGATCAATTTATATAGAGTATTTGATGAACTCGTTATCAGTTTTTTTCATTTATTTTTTTACATAAACTGAGGCTGGTAGTCTCTGCTAAGAGATAAGACTTGAAATGTGTGGTACATTAGCTTAATTTTGTAGGTTTAGAAATTTTCTCTTTCTTTCATTCTTCTCCCATATCCCCCACCTTGTTGCATGTTTTGCTAGTTAATTTTCTATAAATTTGTTCTCCTTTTCACTGATATTAGTAATTTGATTTATTCAGATGCACAGGATTTATAGATATGGAAACTGATACTAATCCTATAGACCGATCCATAGCACATCTGCTGTTTCACAGGCCCTCAGACCCAACAGTAATGCATGCCAAGGATGCGTTTTCATTTAAGTCTCAAGCGATCGTAAGCTTTTGCACATTTAATGTAGATTTTATTGACAATGCCATACTTTGTACTGTTAGGCTTATTCAGTGGATCTGACAGGTTAATGGATCTATCACCAGTCCTCCGGTGAAGGGTGAGAAACAGGTTTGCTTGGAAGACACCACCAATGATGCAGATAAACATTTTCTGACAAGTGATAACAAGTAACAAGGAGTTGTTACTTGAGCACAATTGTTGTAAAATATAATCTATTTTTGAAACACTACAATGATCATGTATAACAACATATCACAAGGCTCAACATAGGTGCCAGGTTTGATTTATCTTTCAAGCTCACTTCTTAGGTTTGTTTTGTATTCATGTCAATGCATAATAGTAACGTTTGCTATGATATAAGTGTCTGCGTGTTTGTCACTGATGTCAATATGCTGGTTTCTCTTAATTCTGTATGCAAAAATTATTGCAGCATGAACCTGATAATTTCTTTTAGTAATGAGCTGTTGTGTCCAGGCCTTTAACTGAATCTCCCATGATAGTTTATAACATGCTTATCTTCATGTTAACGTATACATTTTGGTCTAACATTTCAAATGGTTGAGTAAGATCTATTTTTTTTTTCCGAATTTTCATTTGTTACATGTGGGTTTACCTGTGACTTGTCATTCAAATTGCATCTAGTTGGGCGGATTTGAGTAAGAATAGTGTTATGGACATGATATTTTCATTTTGTTCGTCTACAATCTTTAAGTTCTGACAGTAAGGAACGATGATATAACGACTTGAGTTGTGGTGGTTTACCATAAGGTTTTCTTTTAATTTAATTAATTTATTTTTTATTTTTATGATCGGAGTGTTTGGATCAATTTATGTGTATTTCAATTAATCTTCGGAGTTTATTCCCTACAAACTCAATGTTTTAAGGTAAGTCACAATTATAGTATATAGTTCCAAGGTTCGAATGCAAAAAATCAGTGAAGGGAGTAAACTTTCTTGATTTAGACCAACCTGTAGCCTGTAGGAGTTGTTTCGACGAATTGCTATATCAATTTGAGTTGAAGGTTTGGCGTTATTTGAAATGTCTAGATCCGGTTTGTTCTTATTTGATTACTTCTGAGAACTTTATAAAGGCACATATTTCAGGTTGTATGGTTTTTAGATTTCAAGAATAGTGCAGTAATTATTTGTGCTTTAATTCGTAAGGTTGAAACACTCGAACATGTTTGGTGCTTCTGTAATTAAGACACAATTAGACACTGCAATTTCTGAATAAGTTTTGTCTTGTACTTTTGGATTAGCTCAGAAATAATTTGCTTAAAGTTATTTTGCATTTTGGGACATCAAGTAAACAGCAAACCGTTTCTCAGAATAAAAGTCAAACATGTACAAAACACTTAACCATGTCTGAAGTACGTTAATTCTAGAATCGTTTGTTCGTAAATCCTAAAAACTATGGCATATCCAATATATTAGTCAACGAAAAACCTTACATTGAGTTGTGCTAATCAAACTGCTGACGGAGTTGCATCTCTGTTTCGCTTTTCCAAGTGGCATGAGATGACTGGCCCTTCATCCTTTTACTCTTCTCCTTATCTTTTACGACAGACCCCTTCTTCTTTGGCTCATTGCTTGTGTCTACAGATGGACGATCACCACATACAGGACACACCATTCCACGAGCATTCGAGTAGGTTTTCGGTATTCCACATTGCAAACACATCCTTTAACAATAAAATTTCAATCAACGGGTAAGATAAAAGAGAGGCATGCACTAAATCAACAACGTAAATGGGGGCACACATAGAGTCGAATAAGATGAGAGAAATCAATAGAGGGGCATGGAACGGCACATAAAATGCTTTTGTGTTTAATCCCTATAAGGAGGGTCAATGAGAAAAGCTTTTGTGTTTAATCCCTCCTTACGAGGGTCCATGAGAAATGCTTTTGTGTTCTATGGGCATACATGAAAAACCAAGAAAAACTTGCAATGTCCATGATTAGGCATGGAACACACAAGTTTAATATTCAGGAGCGGAATGCAAAGATTAACTCCGTTTTTCATGTTTGACTGACCACCCAACTAATACACAAAAAGCCAAATAATAGATTTACTTGGGAATTTAGAAACAAGACTTATGAACTGCTGGCTGCAATCTACAATATGCTTTTTAAGTATTTCACACTCCATGAATGTTAGTAATATATACAGAGGATACAAAGAACTAATTCGTTGTCCGTAATGCATAGATGCATATGTAGCAGGAGAATGTTATTGTACCTCAGAAGCTCTGCAGCATCTTCTGCATTAGGATTGGTTGCAGTTGCCACACGCTTGACTCCTTGAGTTGTGCTTGCAAATGATGATGGAGCGTGGTTACCCTCGATATCACTCCTTACTCTCTCATGGATTCCAACAAGTTGAGCCTTGGCCTCCATTACAACACCTAAAATAATTTAAATCAAAAATCTATTTGACAAATAAATTATAAGCCTAATCCTAAGAATGTGACACTACAGGAAGGAACATTTCTCACATTTTAAAAAAAAAAAACTGTATATTTTTGCCAAGAGCATTCTGGAGGGATTTTTGAGTTGTTAGAAAGAGAGAAAAAAATAAAAAAACACTTCGTCTACATAAGGTATATTGTAGGAAGACCAGATGTAGAAGATAAAAGAATAGACTAATGAAACCAAAACTCCCGTTTTTTGTATTGTTTTGTTTTGTTCTTTTTTTTTTTTTTTTTTTTTTTTTTTTGGGGAACTCTTTCAAATGAACCAAACATGAATTAATTTATATTTTCATCTATAGACTGATCAAATCTAGTGAAATGTAAAAGATGTCACCATGTGCCTAAATTGAAAGAAAGACGCATATATATTACCAAGGGATTATGACCATAACAATTGCCTCCTTCTATTAAGACATGTTAGCCATGTGTCCTTCAATTGAAGACTAATAAGACATGGTGGCATGATGAGCTTGTACCAAATGGAATGGCTGCTCAGTCTCTCAATCCTAAAAAGAATCTATATCTCGTCTTAAAGAATATGATGAAGAGATTCTTAATTCTAAAATACCAATCCGAATGCAATAGGTGTTTTCTTATATTTAACACAATGTATTAGACCAAACATAGCAACAAATATAGCGCTAAGCCAACTCACCTCCATGGAAAAGTAGATTTGAGATTATTTTATTCCTACAAGTCTACTTATGATCCGAGATAACTTGGCTATGCATATCCTTGATATCTTTTTCATCCCCACAAAGCTTGCTCAGAGATGAGATATATTTTTACTCATAATTATTACATCAGGATATGACAACTCAGTAAGCAACCAAATTATCAATGATGTTCTGCAGTAATCAGGGAGAGCATATCTTTTCAAGAAGGCTATTATTGGACTGTACTATTTTTTTCCTTTGACTATTTCTTATTCCACAATTTTTCACTAGTAAGGCTTTTAACAAGGCAATACGAACAGATCCAACACCATTTAACAATTCATCAAATAATTGTGTTCTGTTTTTATTGTACTAGATTTTTCCTTTTAGCAGAATTAAGCACAATTATCCATAAATGGTGTAAATCTAATGAAAAGTGTTGTAATGCATGGTATCTATTTACTGCTCATTATCATGCAATACCATTTTGTACAAGCTTATCATACCACCATATTTTGCTAGTCTTTAATTAAATGACTCGTGACTAACACATCTTGTCGATAGTACTCAATTGTGTTAGCTATTTTCCATGGGCAATATGGACGGCAAGAATCTATAAATAGGCCCTAATTCCTTTGTAAATAATACATCCAAATTGAATAAAGGAAAGGTTTTGTGCCTTGTGTGTCACTCCCTTGCAATTTTTTATTATCTAGTCCTTTATTTGTAACTCACACCACCCAAATTGATAACTTTGAAATTTTAGTCCCTCCAACCTTATTCTTTCTCTATTTATTTTATTTCTACTGTATAGTCTATATTTATTTTATATAAAAAGTCTATTTTTGAGCACAAAGAAGCCGCAAAATCTTCCGAATCCTAAATTTGATATTTATTAATAAACAGGCTCACAATGACTCTGAAAGGCCATTACTTAGTAGTCTAAATCTAAAGCTTTCACCACAGAAGAATTAAGTGCTAACAGTCAATAACATTGCTAATCACTCACAGATTCCATACAAAAACTTGGATGTAATCTTGCATTATGATGACTATTCATTCTGATACAGTAACATCATCTCTTCAAGTCTATTTTGTAGAACACCAACTTGTGAACAAGGAATTTAAAATTAGTACTTATGAAAATCAAATTCATGGTCCCACTATCTATACGCATCCTTTATGACCATCTTATTACATGAAAGTGAGATAGGTATTGCACAAGGGCCGTTACTTTCACTTATCAAACGTTTGGCAACCGATTGCTCTACTTGTCTTTCATTTCATTGCACAAGCGGCTTCTCTAAGTCACGAAATTCAGTAGAGCTTCCCCATATATTGGATTAATAACAAGCTCAATAGTTTTCATTGGTTGCAAACCTTTCAAAAATTCATCACAATTAGCCATTTAAAGTCCATTAATAGTTGCTGAATTTCAGGAAATAATCATCAGATTCCAAAACTCACACTTCCCAACTTTGAAGACCATTTTACATACAACTTCCATATCTTGAGGCTCAACTTAAAATGTTTTGACTGTAAAACGGCAATTAACCCTGTTAACTGTTCAAGATATAGTTTATGTTAACAATTCAAGAGAAAAAGCTAATTGATCCAGTGGAACAGATCATTTCATTACTACGATATCATAGTAGCATAATTCTCACTATTCTCATTATAGAAAAAATTAAAACCAAACATGCAAAAGTAACCAGGATCCCACTTTCATTCCATGTCCGCACAACTCTTACATTGAAAAGGAAGTTCTTGCAACTACCCCTATTAAGCATCACCACACACTTCACAAAACAAAAAACTCATACTTGATAAATATCATGCCATCTGCTATTCACTAATCATCAACTTTCATCATGGATATGCATATGAAGTGATTTTACTCTCTAGATTTAAAATATCACAATTTCATCTACAAGCCTTTGAAGAATTTTGATCAAAATTTGTTTTTCCTCCATATTTGATTATCTCCTTTCCCTTTTCAACTTCATCAATATTAACAATAGTTTTACCAATTATCCAAATCATTGTAGTAGCATCTTGACTACTTTTTTGAATTGTCACTAGAAATGCCCCAAAAAATAATAAACCCTATTGTGCTACACATTAATTCTTCTGGACACAAATCTATCTACTTCATATTGTGCACTCACCTTTCAGCCTTTAAGATGTTGTCGAGCATTTCTAGGTTACATATATAAGCCACCTTCATTACGTTGCCATTGAATTAATTTAAACCTTAAATACAATGAGATGCTATATGCTCACTACTCATTTATGCCTACCCAAACAGAGACAGTATTAAACTTCAAGGTTTTTTCCTCCATAGAAAGGTCTCTATGCTTCACTAAGTTTTTTGCAATAATCAATAGTTAAAAATCGCTTCAGCAACTACGGTTACACATGTTACAAATTTCAGTACCCTTTAGTTAAGCTTCACAAAAAACACTTTCCTTCACCCCAACCTCTACCACAACATAGGATGGCTCACAGTTTTAAATTTTAACTCAAAATCTAGATACTGTTACTCAAATGTAGAACCTTTTTTCAACGATATCAAATAATGCAGAACCTATAATTCAAATCTAGCGCAACTTTGACCAAATCCAGTAACAATATGCCCCTCCAAGCTAATTGACAGAAACAAGGATCTAACAGAAATTTCCAGCAATACAAAGACATCAAATTTGGAAAACAAATGATGAACTTTTGGAAGTAAGGTTTTTTTATCTGATCTACACCGTGTACCTTGAACCTTAAAAGTTTTCATTCTTTTGTTACCAAACATTAATTTATGTATTGCAACTTCCTTTTTCCTTTCTTCTTCACTTTCTTCCTCATCCCTAACCTTCTTCCAAATATTCTTATATATGAATGTGCATTTTATTTCCAAAAATATATTCGTAAGAACAATATCAGAGACTTAAATCTTTAAAATGAAACAACTAAATAAAGCATAAGAAAGGTTGATATGATAATAATAATAATTTAAAAAAAAAAAAAAGTGGAGAAAAGAAAAAACCGAAATACCAGCCGGCAAATCTTGCTTTCTGCGACCCCTCCGCCTACTTTGCTCATAATCAACATCTTTTGAGGAAGCCTTCTCTTCCACAGAATTGTTGAGAAACTGCGGAGGTCCAGAAATCTCCAGTAATAAACAAAACAAAATAAAATTAGACTGTGATTAAAACGAGAAGCAATGACTCCGAGACCACAATAAGAGGATAATTACTTGAGAGAAAACGTCGAAGGCAGAGGGAAGGCCGGAGGCATCGGAGGGTTTGGGTAGGTCGAAGATGGGATTGTAATGATTCGAAGAATTGGGAACGGGAACGGCGTCGTCTTGTTCGTCTGAAGAGTTTTGGTAGTTGGATTGTTGTTGGTAATCTTCTTCTTCTTCTTCTACTTCTTCAGCAGAAGAATAGTCCTGAATAAGAGCCAAGCTCATTTTTTTCTTTTTTTTCTTTTGGAGGAAGTCTGCCTCAGGTTTCTATGTCTTTTGATTCAATAACCAATTTTTGTTTGCTCGTTATAGAGTTATAATAGAGTTTGAAATTTATCCCCATTATGAGTAGAGTGAGAAAAATGTCTTAAGCTCCTTTTCTTTCATTCAAATACCATTATCCTATCCTATTATCCTATTCTATCTTATCCAAAGACACGTTTGTCTTAATATTCTTAATTCTCTTTAAAATCCAATCTTATTCTATTCAACTCAAAACATTAATAATTACTTTTCTCAATAAAATTTTTAAAATTAACAAAAATACCCCTACCTACCCAAGCCACTATCACTCATCAACAGCCACTACCGTGGGAGCATCGGCTACCGGAAATCAATTATGCAAATACACACACAACAAAACTACTTCCACAATCAAAATCCAAACCAAAAAGCCATCAAAAAGGCAAAAATCTCAACTTTAAGTCTTCAAAATGGTGAAACCCTAAATGGTAGAGGGTCGCGGCCAGCGAGCAATTGGTGTAAGGGAGGATAGGGGTTTTGGATGTGGGAGGCTAGTGAGATGATTAGTGGTCACAAGTGGGATTTTTTACGCCGAGGGTAGTATGAAAAAGGCATAGATCTAGCGTTGTAGATCTAGTCGGAAAAGGCTAGATCACCAAACGACCAGTTAGATCCAACCGGTTGTGTGCCATTCTTACAGAAAATGCTATTCAGAAATGTACCAAAAACTTCTCAGAATCTTATCCTATTTTTCAAAAATGCCATTCTAAAAAACTTACCAAACGGAGCTTATACATTACTGGTATAATCTTTTGGAGAGAATTTCATAAATTACCCTAATCTTTTGCTAATGGAGATTTTTTATTCTACCCTGAGGTTTAGATTATATTCAAACTCATGACATTTTTGCAAGAAATCATCAAAAAAACTACCCTTAAACCCTAACTTCATTAAATAAAGTTAACGTCTAAAGATACTTTAATAATTTAATTTGACATATTTTATAAATGAGTATTAATAAGTTTATATAAATTTCAAATTTTAATTCAACAGACTTACACAGTAATGCCATTTAAAAGTAGTTTTTGATGATTTCTTATAAAAGTACCATAAATTTATGTATTAACTAAACCACATATTTCATTAACTACCCCATGAGAATATGTTTTAAGAAATCAATTAATTAATTAATTTAATTTGTTGATGATCTGCAAGTTTGGAACATTGGGTTATGGATTTTTGTTGAAATCAGTAGCTTAGATTGATTGCAAAATCTGATTGGCGTATTTTGGTGGCTGGTTGAACTGATATGTTGCTACAGATCAGTGTACGCTCGCCACGGCCATATAACCCATCATCGCGGCATGCGTTGTTGGCATACACACTAATTGCAAAAATCAGCGCTCGTCCTTAGGACGAGTGCTGTTCGCAATCAACGCTCGTCGCGACAATATATCCCATCGTCGCTTCGAGCGCATGTGAAGTGTGAGTGTTACATTAATCAGAGCAAGCTGCGACGATCTAACCCATCGCTGCAACGAGCGCACTTCCGAGTGCACAGGGGCCAGATTATAAAGTTTCAAAACTTTTAGACCACATGTGGATCTGTAAATTGTCAGGGGGTAATGAGTAATTAACCCACCCAATTCAAAAATTGATTGTTTTTTAAATGTATGTCATGTACTTGTTTGTATATTGCATGGTGCCCGGTACAGGAGCCTTTAGACCTATGGTGAATGTTTTAAAATTTTTGGGTATGTATGATTGTAATTTATTAAACAATGCCTACGTGTCCTGCCTTTCTCCTCTTCTCGATGTACATTCTCTTCTCATCTCATTCCCCTCGAATGTAAATCGAGGTTTCTAAATTTGTTAATGTAAAATTAGTTGGAGATTAATTTTTATTGTAAATTTAGAATGATGTTTTGTAATGTACTTGAAGACGGATCAAGGAAGAGACAATCATGCTTGAAGACTCAAGATTTTATTACAGGACCCCTAGGTGACTCACCAATTCCTCTAGGCTCGAGGAAATCGATTTTTAGTTGGGCCATGTACCGACACGTTTTAATATTTTGTTTAGAATGCATGCTAAGGTTGAATGTTCAATAACATACCAAATAATGTCATTCTAACAACGATAATAATCTGGTGAGACATTAAATAACAAACTCTCAATTAAAATATATTAAGTCACATATGCCTTCCATCACCATGGTTTTAATCAAACCACTGTTCGTCGAAACCTTGTTCGCCAAAGCGAAGGGTACACTTCTACCAGTGGGAGGTTAAAATGCATTAGAGTTTTCCTTAATGGTGATGGGTCGACTTAAAATGACGGTTTTGCTTGTTAGCCAAAGTGAAGGTTGATAAACACGTCATAGACAAAGTAGAGAAGTACACATATTGTGTATATGTGGTGACATGTAGTGTCCACTCTACTGATACTGAGAATCACACTTAAGGACGATGGCATGTAGTGTCCATTGGATTGTGTGATTGGCTTGTTGGCTTTTTCACATTTGAGGTCGATAGTAGGAGCTATCAACTGATGTGGATTAAGTATGTTGGCCTACCTAATCAACTCATTTTGGCTTGTTCGTCAAAGCGAATGTTTGAAATGGGTAGGATGGGATCTCGGTCCATTAGGAAAGTCAACGGGCTTTCCCAAGTTAATAGTGAGGGCTATTGACTTGAGTAAAATAGTGGGAGCTTCGTTTAATAAAAGACCATATTAAATAATAATGAACATGGTAATAACGGTTACCTATTCTGCACTTGTAGATTCACTTAAAATTGAGCAAAAATGATCCCAACATCACTGCGACAAATTATCGAACTGGGAGAGAAATGGAATGGTGAAAATTTCGTTGACTGGTATAGAAGTATGAACAATATACTTCAGTCAAGTGATAGATTATACACCATTGAGCAAGCTCTATCACCAGAGCCTACTGATAGTTCTATCCATGAGACTGGGTATGTATATGTGAAGCATACACATGATGCGAAAGAAGAAATGACAAGATACATTGTGCTTGCATCAATGACACCATTACTGTGACAACAGTGCCAGAAAATGGATTTAGCTTATATTCTTCATTTTCTTCATAGAAATGAGAAGCATATGGTGTCTCGGTCATTATTCAGATGTAAGATGGAAGAGGGTACCAAAATTGGCGATCATATACTCAAGTTGACCGAGTATATGAACAAGCTTGAGATTTTGGGATGTGGACTTAATGAAGGTTTAACGATAAACCTAATATTACAATCTTTGCCAGATTCTTATTCTCAATTTGTCTATGACTTTATTGAGGAAGATAAGAAGAATACCCTTTCCGAGCTTCTGGATTTGTTGAAGGCTACTGAGTCAGGCATGAAAATGTCAGAAACATTGACGTTGGTTGAAGCCAGCTCAAGTGAAAAGGAAAGGGCTCAGAAGTCATTGGAAAGAACTATTGTAGAAAGGAAAGGCGTTTGTCTTCACTATGAGAATCCCAGCCACCGGAGGAAACATTGCAAGGCCTTCCTAGCAAGAGGGAAGAAGAATGTTACTTCTTCGTCAGGTAAGTTTTTGAGATCAACTTATCCCGTTAACATCTTAGGTTATTAACACAAGATGTGGTTCTCACATTTGATTGATGTGTAGGGACTATGGCAAGGTAGATTGCTAGCCGAGGGAGAGGTGGACCTACCAGTTGAAAATGAAGCAAGTCGTGCTGCATTTGCTGTAGGATCTTATCGTCTGATTTAGCCAATTGGCTTGTTTCTTGGAACTTGTAGGTTATTATGGTCTTTCTTCAGTTTCTAGAAATTATATTTCTGTGTCCACTTAGGACAAATGAGAGTATTAGTTTACTAATGGATTATTGTCCTTGAGTGTAAATAATATTCTTTATGGAACTATTTCATAATAATATGTTCTTAAGAAACACAATAAGGATAATCTCAAAATGACAACTATGCCAACTTTGGCTAGTTGAGCTAAACATACCTAAAGGAATGTGGGATAGTATCACAACTCACCCCTTCGTATACACCTCAACACAATGGAGTGTCAGAAAAGAGGAATATGACCTTATTTGACATGGTTAGGTCCATGATTAGTGATTTACTTGCATCGTTCTGGGGTTATGCCCTAGAAATTGCGACTCACGTTTTGGATTGTGTGCTGTTAAAGTCTGTAGATAAGACTCTATATGAGCTATGGAGTGGGCAAAAGCCCAGCTTGTCTTATCTAAAGATTTGGGGTTGCGAAGCTTATGTTAAGAAATTAACTTCGAACAAGCTGGGCCCAAAATCCTGTACATGTATATTTATGGGGTGTCCAAAGGAGACCAAAGGATACTATTTCTACCACTTAGAAGAGTGCAAAATTTTTGTTGCTCGTTCTAGTGTCTTCCTAGACAAGGAATTTTTTCTAAGAAGTACTTGTGGGAGAAAAGTAGAACTCGATGAAGTTCTAGAACCACAAAATATACTAGACGAAGGACGGTATGATGTGTCACTGAAGGTGGTTGAACATCAAGATGAGGTTACTCCATAACTTGTGGATCAAAGTGAACCACCTCAGGTAGCACAAGAGCTACGTAGATCTGGGAGAGTACACCATGAGCCCAAGAGATACGGTTATCTCGTGACTTAACATGGTGATGTACTAGTCTACCAAGATGATGAACCAAGAACCTACGAAGACGCGATGCGTGATTTCATAAACATGCAAATGTAGCAAGTGTACTAGTCGCAAAAATAATAAAATGATGAGTGAGTATCGTTCCCACGAGGATAGTGTTACTAAGTACCGATTTCTCTAGTTTAAGTCCTAATTGAAGAAACAATAAATTGGATTGATGGAAAATTAACAAACTAAATACAAATTAACAAAATATAAATGAATGATAATGAAATTAAAGCAAAACCCAACTACTTGAAACTAATTAAACAATGCTAAAAAATGCTAGGGTGTTGATTTCACCTAGATACGCTAACCCAAATCATAGAATCTATTACCCAAGTTCTAATTCCTTGATTGAAAATCGAATTCCTAAGTTGTAAAACATACCTTCTCAGGCTACATTTCCTACTTATCCCC